GACCTTACCGCTGACTGAGTGGGGACTCACTGCTAACCTACCACCGTCGTACTGCAATTGCACTGCAGTTTAGTCCACCACTTGACTCACCACTTTCCCACTTGCCCACTTGCTGACCTTCTAGAAGGCTACAGCTAGGACTTCTAGACTTCGCTAAGACTTCTATCCGACAGACCTACAGATCGAATCCCTGCTACCTACGAACTGATGACAGCCTACCAACTGTTTACGGGTACACAGGTCACAGGTTCAACTCTCGGGGCCTACACGGGTACTGTACGCGGTGGGTGTAAGGACTAGGGATCGAGCCCTGGGATCTTTGCCTGCTACTGCGAAAGGTGAAAACCATTTCAGTATTTATATTTTTTTACATTTGACGTTCAAAGGGAGTTTTTACCTGGGAAGCACGAGCAATCCAACCTGAACGGTTTCCTTTTCTTTCTCTCGTCCTCATTTATTTGTAGAACTAAGCATACTATCGACTGCATTCTATTAGAGTTCTTCTGTCCTGACTGCAGTCTGCCTATCTGTGCGATGGGCCGTTGGATAAGCAGTGTGTTTCCATGCGCCTATCGATCGTGACCTGGGAAATGCTACTCGAAAGGCGCAATTGTCATCGTGAAATCTGAAGGACGTGTCGTTCTTTGTTTCTTTGTCGTTTTTCCTTCTTACTTCTTTTTCAGCCTTTCACATTTGGTGAGTGGCACCGTGAGGCTTTGATACAGGGGTTCTTTAGGTTTTCATCAAGTTAGTGGCTTGGCGCAGCGGGGTCTAAATGAGGGGGGCGCAATTGTCATCGTGAAATCTGAAGGACATTTCGTTCTTTGTTTCTTTGTCTTTTTTCGTTCTTACTTCTTTTTCAGCCTTTCACATTTGGTGAGTGGCACCGTGAGGCCTTGATACAGGGGTTCTTTAGGTTTTCATCAAGTTAGTGGCGTGGTGCAGCGGGGTCTAAATGAGGGGGGCCAGATAATTCAAGAAGGGTTCGACCTCACGCCCATATTTCAGCAGTTCATCGGCGAGCCAACTGAGCTAGGCACATTGGGTTTTCATATGGGCCTTTCGTGTCTCGGGGCAGCGCTGTTAGGGTGTTCTATGCTGGTCTGCACTGCTCGGAAAGGAATTGGCAGATGGAGCAGAGTCGAGCTGAGTGCAAACAGACGCGCAGAAGTGCAGTCTCTCTCTCTCTCTCTCTCTCTCTCTCTCTCTCTCTCTCTCTCTCTCTCTCTCTCTCTCTCTC